TTCTTCATGTGCTTGTTGGCCAACTGAATGTCTTCTTTGGTGAAGTGAAAATAAATCTTATTATTCTAGTCAACATTTACATGTGAGACCCAATTGGAGGTCCTATGGAATCAGTTTTGACATAAAGTGACACTATGTAAAACAGAGTGGATTATCACCCTATCTTGGACCAGCTTCATAACTGTTTAAGCCCATTGTTACGGTGACTGTATAAATCCATCTCACTGAGGGTCTTCTTTTTCAATTAAGATCTTTTAATTAGCACCCACTTATATTACCTTTTCAAAAAATACTTCATTCAAAAGTTTTAAAAAAAGCAACAAAACAAACCACAATGTTTGAATTTCCAAGAGATTGGTCCTTAACTCCTTGAAGACAAAGACTAAGTTCTTTATTCATCTATTATTATAGAGCCGATCCCTGGAAAGCATGGAAAGAGTGAAGGGATGGGGCAAAAAAAAAAAATCCTCACGAAAATTGCAAAGCCTCAATCCCAGGAGAGCATGCTGAATTTAATTATTCTTACATTATTTTCTCAAGAATGTACTTAAAACTCAGGGTAAGTTAGAAGCAGAAATGAAAAGGCTAAGAATAGATGGTAAAGGTAGATAAACAAAGAAGAGCAAGATGAAAAAATTTAAAAATTGCACAGAGCAAAATGACCCTCAGGTGGGTTTTCAGAGGCAGTTAATCTCACAGTAGGAGACTGCCCATCCTTCTCCCTTGGAGCAGCAGGTCAACTTGAACTGCGCACCTTGGAAACTGCAGTGCAGCTTCTTGCCACTAGGCCACCAGAGCTCTCTTCAAAAGCCTCAAAGGCTAAGTTACTCAGCATCAGAGTAAACAGTCTGATATACTAAGTCATTAATAGAGGAGGGCATTAATACCCTTTAGCATCTGAATTATGATTCCTCTAAAACATTCAAAGAGAGGATTAAATTTTGTTGTTGACTTCTTTCTTCTGGGATGAGTGAAAGTCTATAAATAATATCAGTTTTTCATGCAATCAGTGTTGCAGTGTTGTATGTGTATGCAGTCTACTATGACTCAAAGCAACCCTATGTACAATAGCTCTGAACCCCGCTCTACCTGTGTCTCTGACACACCTACCCTCATTACCCCAGGCACTGGGTCAATCCATCTCATGGAAGGCCTTCCTCTCTTGCATTGTACCTTTACCCTTCCAAGCATGATATCCTTCTCCAATACCTGATTTCTCCTGGCAACATTCCCAAAGTATGTGGGACGGAGAATCAAAATCCTTGTCTCCAAGGAGCAACTTGGTTCCACCCTTTCCAGGACAGATCTAATTGTTCTCCTGGCAATCCACGGTATGTTCAAGACTCTTCTCCAGCACCAACTCAAAGGCATCAATTCTTCTCCTGCCATCATCCTTAGTCATTGACCAGCTCTCTGATGCATAGAAAGTAACTGTGAGGACCATGGCCCAGATACCTTAGTCTCCAGACTGACATCATTGTTCTTCAGCATTCTAGACAGATCTCTGACAGCAGATTTTCCTCATACAATTCGTCCTTTGATTTCCTGACTGCTGGTGGCAAGAGTGCTGACTGTGGAACCAAGCAAGCTGAAACTGTTAACAATGTAAATCACTTCTCCATCTATCATGGTTCTCCCAATTGGTCCAGTAGCAAGTATCTTTTGTTTTCTTGATGTTGAGTCAATTCATATTGAAGATGGCAGTTCCTGATTTTCTGCAGCAAATGTCTCTGGTCCTATTCAGTTTTGGCAAGCAAGACTGTGACATCTCCATACTGCAGGTTGTTGATGCATCTTCCTCGAATCCTAATGCCACACTGCTCCTCATAGAGCCCAGCCTCTGAATGCTCCACAAATACATTGAAAAGGTATGGAGATAGGATGTATTATTTTTTAATTTTTATATTATACTAGTTTATTTACAAAATTTGAATACATTGTTTTCCAGAACAGATTCTTCCAATTTTTCTCACATCCCCACACAAACCCATCAAATTGTACAGACCCTATTTGTACTACCTCAGTTCTCATTTTCTCAGGGTATATTACAAGCAGTGGAATAGTTGGATCTATGGAATTCCTATGTTCAGCTTTTTGAGGAAGTCCCAAACAGCATTCCAGAATGGTTGGACCATTTTACAATCCCATCAACAATGTATAAGAGTTCCTATCTTGCTACATCCTCTTCAACATTTATTACTTGCTGTCCTGCTAAATTTTGCCACTGTTAATGGCATGAGATGACATCTCATTGTGGTATTAATTTGCATCTCTCTTATTGCCAGTAACTTTGAGCATTTCTTCATATGCCTGTTTGTCATTCGAATATCTTCCTCTGTGAAGATTCTTTCCATGTCTCTTGCCCATTTTGTAAGTGGGTTATCAGTCTTCCCTTGTGGAGGCACAAGTGTATTCTGTAAACTTTCATTATGAGACCCCTGTCTGATATGGTATTGCCAAATGTATGTTCCCCGATGGTAGGTTTTCTTTACACCCTGTTGGAAAAAAGTTTTTTATGTGCACAGGGATTTTATCTTTAGAAGGTCCCATTCATCAATTTTATCCTCTTCAGATTGTGCATTTCTGGCTGTATTTGAGAGTCCCTTTATACCATGGACTGGGGCTTCTAAGCTTGATCCCAGTTTATCTTTTATGAACTTTGTGGTTTCCTATTTACTCCCAGGTCTCTGATCCACCTTGAGTTGATTTTTGTGTGTGGTGTAAGATGTGGATCCTGTTTCAGCTTTCTGTAGGTGGTAGGATGCATTCTTGGTGTACTCTTTTCCTGATTTTAAACCATGCAATGTTTCCTTGATCCTAGTAGAAGTATAGGCTTCACATGAGCATAATTTAGTGTTCTGGGATTACCATTCTTCTCAAGGTTATCCACAAGTTGTGATCCACACAGTCAAATGTCTTTGCATAGTTAATGAAACACAGATGGGACATTGCTCTGGTACTGCTTTCAGCCAAGATCCTTTTGACATTGACTATGATGTCCCTAGTGCCATGGCCTTTTCTAAACCTGCCTGCATTTCTGGCAGTTCTCTGTTGATGTACTGTTCCAGTTGTTTTGGATCATCTTTAGCAGGATCTTGCTTGTGTGTAATATTAGTGATATTATTCAATAATTTCCACACTACGTTGGATCACCATTTTTTGGAATGGGAACAAATATGGATCTCTACCAGTCAGTTGGCCAGGTAGCTGTTCTCCCGATTTCTTGGCAAAACCTGGTGAGCACATCCATGGTTGCATCTGTTTGTTGAAATATGTCATTTGGTATGCTATCAATTCCTAAGCCTTGTTTTTTTGCCAATTCCTTCAGAAAACCTTGAACTTCCTTCTACATCACCATTGTCTCTTGGTCATATATTGTTTCATACAGTGACTTTGTATACCTTTTCTTTGGTCTTAAGTTTTTATTTAAACAAAATTTTTATTTTGTACTGGTTTACTTACAAAGATCATTCAGTATTCTTCCCAAAGCATCCTAAGTATTGCAACTCGAGGCTTGAATTTGTTCTTCTTTTCCTTCAGCTTAAGACATGCTGAGGGAGTTTGTCCCTTTTGATTTTCTGACTCCAGCTCTTTGAACATTGGGATGCAGATTTTTTTTTCTTTTGCTTTAGCTTGTTAGTGCTCTAATACAATATTCAGTCTCTTCCAACATCCATCTTGGTCTTTTCTTCCTTTTCTGTCTTTGTAATGACCTTTTGCATTCCTCATGGATGATATTCTTTATATCCGCCCAAAACTCATGTGTTCTTGTCCACTCCATTCTTGTGTTTAAGGTCTCAAATCTATTCCTGAAATAGTTTTTCAAATCAGGAGAGATAGAGCCAAGGTCAAATTTTGCTTCTTGTGAATTTCATTTCATTTTCTTTAGCTTCAGTCTGAACTTGCATATAAGTAGTTACTATACATTTTGCATTATAAATAATGGCATTAACTATTTAATCAATTCCTTCACTAAATTAATGTCTATTATCTATTTATTACTTTTTCTTCATCTGTCCCTCTCTTCTCATCCCTAGTAATCATCAAAGAATGTATAAACCTTTCTTTAGTTT